GTGTATAAGAGACAGGAGAGAGAGAGAGAGAGAGAGAGAGAGATGCAGCTCGTTGAGGGCAACAGCTTTGGGGGCTGAGCCACTGTTGATAACTTTCATCGGCGGCTGTTGTCGCGTTTCCCCGCGGCCGATGTATGGGCGAGGTACTGGTGGAGACTTGTGCTTTAATTGCCTAATGGGTCTGAACCATATATATATTATATGTTTGATGGGAGAGACTCAGTGGGCCCGGTTCAGAGCCAGTGCAACTCCCAACTTGTAGACGGGAGCAAAACAACCACCGTTATGTTTCCCACCTACAAAATCAAAGTCCCGGCATGCATGCTGCCCCTACTCTGGGGAAGTACCAGGGCACCATTTCGCTGGACATCCATCCAGGCAAACGGCCGTCGCTTGCGACCCATCTAGCCTGGATGAATGTGCCGCAAAACGGCGCCCCGACACTTTCCCGCAGTCGTGGCAGCATGCGTGCCGCCACTTCTATTTTTTAGCTGGGAAACATACAGGTGGTTTAAAAAAGAAAAAGGAAAACAGGATACAAATTCAATCATCTCACCCCTTTGCCAAAGAATAAAAAAAATAAAAAATAAAAAAAAAACGAAAAAAGAGTGGGCAGGACACTCAACAGACAACTCACAACAAGCACCTAAGGGACTGCATGCATAGTTACCCTTGGGACTTTTTCGAGAAATTTTGGCTCTCACCTGGATGCGTTTGCAGTCCGATGCATTCAAGAGCCGCCACACTTTTGGTCAGATGCATCCATGCTCTGAAACACCCTCAATCACATATTAAGGCATAGTATTACTCAAACAACTTTTTGTTTTTTCCTTTTTAGAAGGGCCAAGTGCACATTGAAGGCAAATTACATCATCAATCACACTACTACCACTTCTCTAACGGAGTCTGATTTTTTATTTTTATTTTTAATTTTTTTTTTCTCCTTGAAAAGGCCAGGTTGTTGTAGAGGCTGGATTACAGACATATGAGAGTCACCTTCGGCACTTCGCCATGTGGTAGAGGCCTCCTAATCCTATAAGACTCCCTGAGATCCCAACCTGCCTCTTTCGTAACTGTGCCGGAAGAAATTACGGAGTCTGATTCTTTTTTTTTTTTTTTTTTTTTTTGTTGAACTTAGCATGTGGGAAACCTACTTAACGAGGTGATAAGAGCAACCTCTCTAAGGGCCAGATCCCACCGGCAAAGTGGATTGAAATAAGTGGCTGAATCTGGACATTGTTCCACACAGAGATGCAGAAAAGCAGATCTATCACAATTTTTTGCACCCCTCCAGAAACACGTCCAGATTCAGAGGCTTATTCCAATCCTCCTTGCCAGTGGGAACTCGCCCTAAGTAGGCCCCTGCGTCGAAGACTCCATCTATTGGTGGGGAGCTGCACCTGCTGGAAATCGGGTGAATGTGGTCAGCTGCACCCAGGTAGTTCCTGGTATGTGCATATGCCCTCGAGCATAGAACGGCGGGCCCGGGTAATGTTGTGCCATTAATAACACCATTATATTAATGTGCATGTCATTGATGTCAGCTTTTTTTTTTTCTCCCCGAGCCGACGATCGGGTTGCATTCGTATAAAAAAAAAAAAAAAAAAAAAAAAAATCCATCAGTGGCTACTAGTGGAGGTTCTAACTTGAATGCTCATGCCATCCTCTTCTTCGAGATGACATTATAATTTTCTTACACTTTGAAATTGTTGCCCTGGGGCCTCGTCCCACAGTCTAGCGGTGTCGAGTTTTTTCAAGGCCCGAATCTGGACTTTTTTGTGGACAAGTGCGGTTGCAGAAACTCAACGCCATTTCTGCACATTTCCTCAAACACGTTCAGAAGCAGCGGATGCGGAAACTCGATGCTGCTACCTTCTTCCCCCGAATACAACGTAGGGTCGTTATAGCTGAATTTGGCATATCTTTCGGTCTAAATACAGCCATAATGACGGTGAGTTGTATTCGGGGGGAAGAAGGTAGTGGGACGAGGCCCCTGACCTTTTGTTGCCCTGGCGAGGGAGCCCCTGACGTGTTCAGGTAGGGCCCAGTGTAAGGGTATAGTGAAATGAGTGATTGTAAGCCAGAGATATACAGGGTGGGGTCATGTGTTTCAGAGTGCCCAGCAGGGACCTGACTGCCTCTTCAGTACTAACACTTATATCGCCTTGGGCATTGGGTCCCTAATAGAGAGGAGGGGGTGGGGTGGGTGTGGGGGGGGAAAGGGGGAGATTGTTATTAATTTGTACACTTGCAGCATAACATGGTTTTCATTTTCTTACTGTCCTTCTATATACAGCAGCTGGCATCAGTTGACTAGGCATGCAGATGGCATTCAGTCAGGACTCAGGAGGTCGTGGGTTCAATCCCCACGAGTCCCTGGGGCATGTTTGGTGCCAACCAGCTGAGTCCCAGATTGTCAGCTTCACCCCCTGGTTGGTATGAGTAGGGTCACTACCTTCTTCCCCCGAATACAACGTACGGTCATTATAGCTGTATTTGAGGCATCTTTCAGTCTAGATACAGCTATAATGACCCTAGGTTGTATTCGGGGGAAGAAGGTAGCCAACATGGGTGTGAGTGTGAGTCTGCAGCTGAGTCTCAGATTGTCAGCTTAACCCCCTGGTTGGTATGAGTAGGGTCACTAGCCAACATGGGTGTGAGTGTGAGTCTGAGTGAAAGTTAAAATTAGGTCTCAAACCATATGTATTGCTCCTGGTTTCTGGTGTACGGCTAGCAGGACTTGAATCCACAATGCGCGTAGC